AGGAACGTGCTCTAAAGAGCACAGTATGTAGTGTGTAAGATAGATGATTGTATAGTAATACAGTAGTATCTCTGTTGGAACATTGAACAGAAAGATTTGCACTGTCAATGTTTGTGTGTCTAACCAGTATTTATGCTTTGCTTTTGTGACTTTGGCAACTATGTTTTAAGACAACAATAAGTAATGTGTCAGCTAGTGATTCTATGATGATAATTTTTTGAAGTTGGTATTGTTCTACCCTTTTCTGTTTTTCTATTTTCTTTCTTTAAAAAAAAGAACAATATGCAATATAACAACCATTGTTAAATTTCATTCTGTTTTGAAATCCTATATCACTATTGTTTTGAGTTTGATGTTGTTGTTTTGTTTTGGTTTTTGTTTTTCTTTTGTGGCTTTTCTCTTTTCAAAATAAAAAAAAGAATGTACACGAAAGGCTGGATAACAGAAGACTATCACGCAAACTTTGGGAAACTAGAGGAGATGGCAGAAGAGAAAGAATGAAGGAGCAAGCAAGCAGTTATCTGAACTTGGTCATGGGTTGGTTGATGGATTTCATTTTCTCTGACTGGAGTTCTTTTCAGCTGTTCAGAAAGGAGTGAAGTCAAAGAAAAAAACAGAAGTTAAAAAGAGAAGAAAGAAAACAATAACAAAGCAAAACAAAACAAAGAAACTAAAAAACTGAAAGGTCAGCCTATTCCCACTTGAGTTGCAAGAAAAGAAACTTCCCAGAACTGCCTCAACTGCAGAAGTCAACCCTGCCCAGGAGAGTGCCTGCTGATGACTGTGTCATGCTTTGCTGCTCCCACCTACCTCACCCACAGAGCTGCCCTAGCTGTTCCAGCCCACGAACACTCTCCCCAGAACAACCCTTAAAAACCCTTTTTCCAAGTGAAATTGTGGCTGTCTTGGTCCTCAATAAAACTTCTCTCTCAAAGCTGAATGTCTGTCTGGTTTTGCATGGATTTCTGTCCACCACAGGCCACCACCACAACAAAAACAACAACAAAAAAAGAGAACAAAGTGGCCCCACCCACCTGCTTCTATTCAGTGTGTCTTTGTTCTCAGACACAAAACTGATTTATGTAACTTTCCACCTGTTGGTTCACAGTGTTATTTTTGTTTCAGATTTTTATGCTATTTGTCCTGACTATCCATCCTGTGCATCCAAGTTGGGGCGCCACTGTTTTACTGGCATTCCCTCTGGTCTCTGGTCCTTCTGGAGCAGTTCGCCTCAGTTGTGGCACTAGCAAGAGGTAGGGCTAATCTTTGGCCCTTCCAGTGCAATTTACTTGGGTTTCTGTGGAGCAGAAGTTGATGGAAAGGTCTGTCGTCTTCCATGCCATTCACCAGAGTCCCAGTGGAAATGATGATGGGAGGGCTTGCTTCTTTTGCCCCATTCACCTAGGTTCCCATGGCAGAGATAGCCAGTCAAATCTATTTTATAAAGACAATTAAATCATTTCAGAGGATTCTGCTCTTATGACCTAATCATAGCCCAATATAACTCACTTCACAACACCATCATCCTGGGGGTTAGAATTTCAACATGTGAATTTGGAGGGAGGTGATAAACATTCATACCACTGTAGTTGTCACTTTACTTTTTTTGGTGATCTTGAAAATTGGCCCCCTGACTTTCTCATTCTGGCCAAGTGCTCTGCCACCAAGCTACCACCCCAGACCTTTGATGCACAAAAAAAAATGTTTAATTTACACTGAAATTCATCCATTTTATCTTGTTTGCTTACACTTTAGGTGTCATATCTAAGAAACCATTGCCTAGTGTAAGGTATTGAAGATTTGATTCTATGTTTTCTTCTAAGAGTTTTATAGCTTTTACAATAGGGATTTTGATATATTTTGAATTATTTTTTATGTACGTTGTGTAAGTAAAACTTCAAGTGAACTATGTGAGGTAACATTTCTTTCTTTTGCATTAGGATGCTTACTTTCATTCTTAATGTTATTTGTCCCACACTATTTTGGAGGCATCTGATTTAACAATGCTTCTCATAATTAAAAATGCTCATTTCCTGTGTTACAGAATGCTTTCTAGCTATAAAACATCAACGTGGATGAACTAAAATATAATAAAAATATTAATTGCAGCATTTTATTGAATGGAAAATATTAGACACAATATAGTATCAATAATTGAGCAACAAATAAATTATGGTACATTCACATAATGGAACACAATGTACCTGTTCATGTAATGAACTTAAGTTATGATTTTAACACATATATTATTGAATTAAAAATATTTTGCTTTTTGGGTGATGTATTGATCTCTACCATTATTTAGGTAAGATTCTAAGTGCTTTAGAGTACTGACTCATTAGGATAAACATCCCTAAAGTATCATCATTATTATCCTTCATTATCATCACCCCATTTTACAGATGAAGTAGTTGAAGTTCATAGTGTTTGTGGACTTGGAAGCCAGACCAGATGCTCTGCTGTGAGAGAGAAGCTTTATTGAGCAGGATGTATCTCATAAGAACTCAATACCTCAAAGGTATTGCCTTCATTATCTTTATTATCATTATCATCTCATTTTACAGATGACATAATTGAAGTTCATAGCATTCAAGTAACTTTTCCATATCAGTTAATGCTCACTAGAGAAACAGATAAATTCAAGGTATAAAATATATAAAGATTTACAGGATAGGCTTACAATGTCTGCCTGCAGAACAAATGTGGGAGTGTGAAAGGGCTCTTTGTGTCATGGAGCTAGTTAAAGGTCTAGGCTCGGTGTAGTGTCCCGTGTGAATTCCTATCAGGAGGTTGAAGAGTCTGTAATGGAAGGTTGAAGAATTTGCACTGGAAACCAGGAGGTGCGATAGGTGAAGTTGAACACTGGAGCTCTTCTGAAGAAACAAATGGAAACATTCCTTCTTTTTTCTTGTATCCCATTAAGATGATTAGCTTATTGTTTGGTGCCACTCACACTCAAGGAGTATCTTCTGCCTTCAGCTAATCCCTTTAACTATACAAAGCACTACGTTGATCCAATTATTTGAGTGTTTATTACTCAAATTGATACCATCAGGTAGCTTTTAATTGCCCAAAATTACAGAGCTATAAGAAAATAAGCAAGATACGCAAAGATTCCTCTAACCAGTCATCTAATGGTACCATATATATCATATATTATTATACATAATATATTCATATATATAATATTATATATAATATAATTCTAACTTGGCTTTAAATTAGTTAAAGAGCCAGACATGGTGGTCCATGCCTATACTCCTAGCAATCAGAAGAAACAAAGGAGTATCTCTGGGATTTCAAAGCCAGCCTGGACTACATATAAAGAGCCTGTCTCAAAAAACCTAAAGTTAAACAAAAACCAAAACTGCCCCCATAAAATAAACTAACCAATCAACAAACAAACAGTAAAGCAACTAGCAATTCACAACAATAAAAACAAAATTCCATCATCTAAGTGTATATAGCATAAGTATACAGGTTTTTACAAATGTAGCAATAGTCTGAAAGATAACCAGCAAACTGTAAACAGGTTTAAATGATAGGAAGGATAGGGGACAAACATGGGTTTAGAGACCCTTTGATATGTCTCTGATCAACCTTTGCATAAACTGTCTCATTTAATCCTTATGGTATTCTTGTAAGATGTAAGTATATTACAAAGTAAGAGTTTAAGAATTTACTTATTAGCTATCTTTCTTAGGGTGCAAGACAGAAGACAAAGTGAAGCGCTCTAGCTTGAAAGAATTGCCTAAGGAAATGTGCATAAATATAGAGAGCAGAATACTATGACTGATGTGACTAGAGCTCAGGGCTTGTGATGGAAAACTAATAAGATAGGGATAGTGGAAACATAAGAAGGAAGTGTTTACTGTCAGACCAAAGAATTTGGAATGGGAGTGAAAAGAAAAAAATTTTCATACACTTCCAAATCGTTGAATTGCTTGAATTTGTTACCATAACAACCTGGTTTCTTTTGGTAAATAAAACAATTTTTGCAATAAAAATGCTCAGTTGCAATTAGATTTCTGGGGGCAAGAATTTCTGGAGTGCTATTGATCCTATGGTGACTATAGATTGTAATAATGAGAATAATAATGAATAATGAGTACATTTCAAAAAGCTAGAATAAAGTATATTGAAAGTTTTCACCAGAAAGAAATGATAAATGCTTGATGTAATGGCACATGTCTATACTCCCAGTTGTTTAGGAGACTGATGGAAAGTTCAAGGAAGCCTCAGAACCTCTCAAAATAAGACTCTCAAACTAAAAAGAAACTCTCAAAATAAAAAGAACTGTGATGTAGTTCAGTGATAGTGCTTCTCTAGCATATGGTAGGCCCCAAATTTGATCACAATCAGAATAAATAAAAAAGAAACTGTTAAGTAGATATTTTTACCCTGATTTATACTTTACATGTATTATCAAAGCATCATATATTGCCCCTTTATAGGTACAAGTTTTACTTCTATGTATCAGTTAAAAATAAACTTAATGTAAATAAAAAGGATTCAAGGAAACAATTATTTTTGAGAGAACAGTTCTAGAGATTGAACCTAGGGCCTTGTGCTCACTTGGGAAGTGTGTGTTACATTCTAATCACTTAGGAACTATTTTCTAAGCCTTATAGTACACTGGATGTTTTACTATCATTGATTCTCATCATGTGCAGACTGCCAGCAACATATCTATAATCACACGAAGTTGTAGTTATTGTCTTGTAATGAAGGAGATGAGTGATAATGGATCATGGGGCATCTCAGTAGGAGAGAACCTTGTGCAGCAACTCCTTTTTATATTTCCAATGAGGACAAACTTTAGAAAAACTTCACTGGGTGTTAAAAGTCCTTTACTTTAAAGCTTAAATAGCAAGCACTAAAAATGTATTTAAACTGGGAACATTTCCTTGTAAAATATATGAGCTCCAACTTCTTAAATGAAAGTCTAATAGACCCAAAACATGTACTTCATCAGAGCCTGTAAGGATGACACGTTTGACTTATGAATTTTCACTAGTTCTCATTCCAAACAGGATAGTTCTCAGGGCAAGTTTCATGTCCTTGTTGCGAAGACTATAGATCAGGGGATTAAAGAGAGGTGTCATTACTGAATATACCAGTGTGATGATCTTCTGCATCAAAGTGGGGATGCCATATGTAGGGCTCACATACATCACCATGACTGTCCCATAGAATAGAGACACCACAACTAAATGAGAACCACAGGTGGAGAAGGCCTTCCTTTGCCCAGATACAGAAGGGACCTGAAGAACAGCTCTAAGCAGCAGAATATAGGATCTAAGGATATATGTAATAGTGAAAAAGAGTACAAAGGAACTCTGAGCATAAAAAATAGTTTCAGTAATGGGAGCTGGGGCACAAGACAGAGCCATCAATGAGTCCATGTCGCACAAGAAATGATCAATGATATTAGAACCACAAAAGGGAAGTAGGGAGATGAAATAAATGGGTATTGAATATCCAAGGAATCCAGTGAGCCAGCATAAGGACACCAGCATGCAACAAAGCTTCCTGGTCATTAGGGAGGGGTAGTGCAGAGGGTGGCAGATAGCCAAATATCGATCGTAAGCCATTACTGCCAGGAAGAGACATTCAGTTGTGCCTAGTGAAAAAAAGAAATAGAACTGAAGGAAGCACCCAGAAAATGAGATGACCTTTGTCTTGGAGAACATGTTGGCCAGCATGTTAGGGACAGTGGAGGAAACATACCAGATCTCAAGGAAGGCAAAATTTCCCAGCAGAAAGTACATGGGAGTGTGTAGTCGTGGGTCACATCTTACTGCACAGATAATGGCTCCATTTCCCATCAAGGTCAAGACATAAACCACCAAGAACAATGTGAAGAGGGAAATTTGCATCTTCCAAGAACCAGGGAATCCCAGGAGAACAAACTCCGTCACAATGTGTTTTGCTGATCTGTTCATGGTACCTAAATCTGTAAAGAAGAAACATGAATTTAACTCAGGTTTCTTTTATAGATGAGGATGGCTTTCTGGGGTTGGCTTGGAAAGAGGGATAGGCAAAGTGATGTTGAACATCACTGAGCATCTGTGAGGGAAATTCCAGGTGAGGGAAGGTATTAAGTGTTTCTCTATATGTTCTTATAATTTCTGGAGACTCTTGAGGCTTGTTTTCCAGTACTTTGTTGATATATGTAACAGAAAGTTGATCTTAAATCTTCTTACTTGCAAGGATTACTGTAAAACAACCATGTCTCTCCCAAGGAGGTATCAGTTGCTTACTCTTTTTCCCTGGAGTACATTATCTTGCCAACCCTTGGGACTCACTTAGAATTTAGTATGTTTACTTGTCTCCATATTAATTCAAGTATATTGGTTAGAGTAAAAAATGAGAGCAGCCAGGGGAAAACCTAATTCTAGGAGGCTTCATATTGGAAAAAAATTGCATTCCATTAAGGAATCATTCTTTTGGAGGATTATTTTTATCTGTGACTGTAAGTTTAAAAGTGAGATGATTATGCAAGCAAATCTTTCCTCCCTACTTTAAGTGAAATATTTCAACATAGAGAAATAGAAAACTGTATTTTCTGGTTACTTAAAAATAACCCATTTGCCTCGCTGATCATTATATTGAACTAGCCAGGTACTGAAATACAAATACTCCATAATCTCATTTACATGTAATCTAAAAATGTTGATTTCAGGGAGGCAAGAAAGATAGCTGCCAGAGGTTGGGGAGAGTAAGAAGGGTAAGTATAAGAAAAGGTGGTCAATGGATACTGGGTTAAAGTCAAATAAGAGCAAAAAGTTCTGGTATAAAATGCACACAGTAGGGTGGCTGTGGGATTTGGAGTGTTTTCAATATAAAGAAATGATAAATGTTGAGGATATAGAGATATTTACTCTGAATTAAAACATTATACAGTGTATACTTGCATCTAAATGACACATGGTACATATAAATATGTACAACTTTTATGTATCAGTTAAAATAAATTTAAGTTACTAAAAAGTGAGCACACTTAATTTTCATGGAGCATTCCACCGTACTGTTTATAGGAGCATAATTCATTATAGCTAAATCTTGGAAATATCTCAAATGCCCATCAACCAGCACCATTTATTGAATCGGTTTTCTTCGATTGAAGGTGTTTGAACCCTTTGTTGAAGAGAAATTTTGTGAGTATGTTTGGAGTTGTTTTGATATATTCTAATCTGTCCCATTTATCCTCAATTCTTTTTTTGACAATGCCATGCTGCTTTTATCACAACAGATTTGTAGTATAATTTCAAATCAGGGATTATGATGCTCTTGGATTTGTTGCTTAGAATCATTTTTGCTATTCCAGGTCTCTTTTGGTTCCAAATATATTTCAGGATTGTTTTCTCTAATTCTGTAAGATATATTAATGATTTTTTTTGTCTTTTTCCTTTTTATGGGTACTGGGGATCAAACTCACGACTGCTTGCTTTCAAGGCAGGCGCTTATGCCGCTGAGCTAAACCTCCAGCCCCATGTTAATGATATTTTGATTGACATTACACTAAATCTGTTTAACAATGTTGGAAGTATGGCAATTTTCACTATGTTGATTCTTCCTTCCCAAGATTAGAGAACATTTTTCTATTTTCTGATATCTTCTTTTATCTCCTTCTTCAAAGTACTGTAGTTTTAAATGTAGGGATCTTTAACTTCCTTCATGAGATTGATTCATAAATATTTCAGTTTTTGATGCTGGTAAAAAAAGTGTGGTTTTCCTAAATTCTCTCTCAAAGAATTTATTGTTTGTGTATAAGAATGCTACTGATTTTTTAAGCACTGACTTTGTATCCAGTTACACTACAAGGTTTGGTTATTAAATCTAGAAGCCTTTTGCTGAAGTTTTTGGGATCTTCTGTGTAAAGTAGCATATCATCTGGAAATAATGATAATTTAACTTCTTACTTTTGTATCTTTGTTCTTTTTATTTCTTTCCCTTGTCCAACTGTGTAAGCTAATGCTTCCAGAATTATACAGAATAGAGTGATGATAGTGAACATCCTTGTTTTGTTCCTGATTTTAGAATGAAAAATTTCAGTTTTTGTTCAGTTAGAATGATGTTGGCTGTTGGTTTGTCTTAGGTCTTATCAGACTGAGATTAAAACCATTTGTTACAATTTTCTATAGTTTTATTTTTTAAATTATTAATGAATGTTTGAATTTGTTAAATGCTTTATCTTAATCTATTGAGATGATTATATGGCTTTTGTCTCTCTTGATATGGTGGGTTACATTTATTGATTTCTGTATGCTGAACCATTCCTGGATTCCTGGAATGAATCCAATTTTGTAATGGTGTATAATCTCCTTGCTGATTTGCTGGATTTTGTTTGCCAGTATCTTATTGAGGACTTTTGCATCTATGTTGATGAGGAAGATGGACCTATAGATCTTTTTTTGGTTGGATCCTTCTCTAGTTTTGTTATTAAGGCAATACTTGCTTCTAGGAATGATTTGAGAGTATTGCTTCCCTTTCAATTTCATTAAAGATTTTGAAGAGTAATGATATGAGATCATCTCTAAAATTCTTGCAGAATTCAGAAATGAATCTATCAGCACCTGCATTTTTCTTCACTGGTATGTTTTTAATTACACTTCCAATGTCATTGAATATTGCCTTATTTAGAATTTTTATATTTTCTTGATTCAGCTTTGGTAATTTGTGTATACCTAGGAATTTGTTCATTTCTCCTGTTTTTTCATCTTACTAGAATAAAGTTCTTGAAGTAGATATTGATGACATTCTGGACTTCTTCAGGCTGCATTGTGATTTATCCCTTTTCATTCCTAATTGCATGAATTTGAGTGCTTTCTGTCCTTTTCTGATAAAGTTGCCTAGGGGTTTGTCAATTTTATTTAATCTTTCAAAGAACTAAACCTTTGATTCATTATACTTTGTATTTTTTTAGTCTCAATTGCAGTAATTTTTGCTCTGATCTTTATATTTTCTCATATGAGATTTAACCTTGATTTGATGTTATTTTTCTAGAAATTTGAGCTTCAACACTAGCTTGTTTATTTGAGTTTGTTCTACTTTCCTGATATGAAAATTCACCACTGAATTTCCCTTGGATCTACTTTCATTAGTTCAGGTATCTTGTATCATCATTATCATTTAATTATAGATATTTTAAATTTTTTTCTTTAATTTCATTTGTAATCCATTCATCATTGAAGAGAATGTTATACAGTTTTCTTTTTTAAAATTCATTTTAAAGATGGTAAAATTAAACAGAACAAAATAGATCATAAGGAAACAATTTTAAGAAACAGATTTTGAAGCAAGACCACTGGAGATCTTCACTATCATACTGTCTCTTGTTTTCTTCCAAATAGTTATCCACATCTTCACACACAGTGAACACATCCTGAACATTATAGTGCTAAACTAATCAGAACAGGATGATGAAAGCTTTTAGGTCTTCAAGACCAGACACTAGGGAAGTCAACAATGGCTGCCATAATGTCTCTCGTTCTCTTTGAAGTAGCTGTCCATATCTTTATGTAGGCTGAAATTAAACATAAGAGACTATCACTCTGAATAGTGAATAATAGTATTGCTAGATTTTATATCATAATGCTACATAATTGGTACTTGATATCTTTGTGTCTATTCTTCAGAGTATCTGTTTACATCGTGCATTACATAATCTGTTCCTGTAAACTGTTTAGAAATTCTCCATGTGTGTGAATCTCTACATGTATACCTATCCTTTCTGTATTATAGGGAAAAACAGATCAAAACAAAGCAACAAAACAAATTTCTAGAAAAACATGAAATGAAAAAGACATATAAAACCATAATATTAGGTGATCTACAGTAGTTACTATGCTGTCTCTTGTTATTTCCAATAGAATTGTCAACATCATCAGATGTAATATAATTGAACATAGCATTACATACAATTTTAATAAAAACACAACACTGGAGACATTGTAGGACTTCAAAAGCAGTTAATAATCAAACCAGAATGGGTATCTTATTACGTCTTGTCATCTTCAGAGTAGTTACCTTTACTCTTAGACTTGCTACTATCAAGCATAGCAAATTCAATTAAAATCAGTCAAGATAAAACAGCAGTCTAACAAAACATTCCAATAAGATCAGTCATAGTAAGACAACATAAGTAACAAAGGGCTTCAGTTTAAGTTAACAGAGAATTATGGATATTTACCATAGTATCTCCTGCTATCCCTCCAATGGGATAGCTGTCTGTACCGTCAAATCTAGTATGAGTAGACAGACTGTAACAAAATAAAATCAAACTAGACAGAGAAATGAGTCTAATGTGGCTTTTAAATCCTGATACAGTATTAACAATGTCCTCTGCCTTCCTTTTTTAGACAATTCCTCCCCTTTCCCTTTCCCAGGGTGTTGGTATATTTTGGGTTCCACTAACTTCTTTAGTTTTTAGATTAGGGAGGCAACCCATTATCTGTCTAGGTGGGGCTGAACCTTTTTACCCCTGAGCTTGATCTCGAGCTGTATTCCCTTACTTACTAAAGCCTCAAGGTTTTCCTTCCTTCTACCTGAGTAGTTCTCCATTGCACAAAATGTCATGACTTTCCAACCTATCTGCAGCTGCAGGATGAGGTGTCCCTATTTCTCTCTGGTTCCCTGTCACCTAGAGCATTGTTTTCTCATCTTTGACTTTCAGTTGATTAACCCTCTTTCAGGTTGAGGATATTTCCTATTCAGAGCATCTTGATGGATCCTATTTCTTGATCTACTCTGCCTGTGTTTCTTTTTGATAGTGTATCAAGGCTATTTATATTAGATATTATAGTCCACCTTCTCTGCCTCATCTCTGCTATTCTATTTTTATGTTATTATTTGTCCACTTTTCTCCTTTATTCCACTGTCTGCCCCATTCATTGAGGCCTCCCTGCCACTGTTGCTGGAATCTTGGTATTTTTTTTTATCTCTCTCTCTAGAATGTCCT